TATTTTCAATAAAGAGCGAGTCTATTCACATGAATTATTTATAACTGACCATTCGAAATTTTAAATTATACTAACCTTCAATCATTGATTGGGAATATTTTTCCATTTCTAAACGTTCGATCTTGTTTGTTTAAATAAAAAAATTTTTATCCTTCGTTACTCTAAGAGAATAATGCGATTGAAAAGAAAATTTTAAGTATTCACTTTGACGTGATAAAAACCATCAATAAAGTAGTATAGATGAGCTATTATAATTATTTAATACTTTTAGTTGCCTGAAACGATAAACGAATTCGGTCTTAAATACTAATGTTGACAAAGTTATAAAGTGTTAGATTTGAATTTTCCCACTATATATGTCGCAGTACACTAGTCAATGTACGAACTATAACTACTTTTTCTGTTTTACGTAGTACATCTCATTGAGAATTACTTTTTTCTATTTCATGTTATATTGTATGCAATCGTCACGTACATCATGTACTATTTTCTTTATTGTTTCTATTTTATATAATCTTATGATATATTCACTCATGTGTATCTAAATCTGTCTCTAAATTATCTACTGCCACCTGTTTAATTACCCTTAACAGGTTATGGGCTGAAAAGACTTGGACCAATTTTTGTAACGATCTCTAATGATACATACTCTCTGCAAATGATTACAAAAAATTGGGCCAAGTCTCATGAATTTTATTTCTTATTGACTACTTCTTTAAATTAAGTGGAAATTGATTGCAAGAAAGACTTATTATAAATTCTTATTTACAAAATGATTTTATGAATTATTCAAAGATAATTCGAAAAGCATTTTCGGACATTATTTGTGAAAACAAAAAAAAAATTACTTAATTTTGATAAATAACATTGCATTCTATTTTATTTTTAACCTTTTGCTATTCCAACTAATTATTTGGAGATGAGAATTTTGACATTATGCAAAGTCAGTTAGGACGTGTATATAATCAAACATTCTTACTTATATTTTAATGATTAAATATGTTATACCGGGCTTATTGATGTTCGAATCGTCAAATGTGTGTTTTAATGTTTCAGTTTATATCGAAATGATCGAAAATGTGTTTTAATGATCCAAATTATGTTCCGGTTTTAATGCAAATAAATTGCTAGTTGTTTCAATTTAATTATTTTCTCTAAGAGAGTTATTCTAACGATAGCAGATGAGCTACGCCGCAGGATGTGGTCAGGAAGAAACATTTACTAACAAACACCTTTTATTAAGGAAAATATACTATTTTTTATGTTAATGATGAATTCGTAACAATAGTAAAGCTTAGTTGTTATGGGTTCAATAATCTAGAGCTGACAAAAAAGCTTCGAACAGTTTGTGATAGAAGAAAAGAAGGAGCGGTAACGGAGCACGTGTACGAGCGAGTCACAAGTGCGTTAATAGCTGCAAACACGTTGTTGCCGCCGTCAATAGACCTATCATAATAGTGAAACAACGATCATTTTATGTTTCAACGAACTTGAACATGCTCAAGTGGTCATTGGTTATTTTCATTGAAAGAGCAGAATCTCACTGAAAAGAACAGCGTCCACAGGTTGCTTCTCGTACCGACTTTTTCTACCTCTCCGTCCTTGCTGGGGGCAGGATAAGTGCGTGCGCAGCTGCAACTTAGTTCAGATGGCGTTAGTGAAGTGAATCACAGCCTGGTGGCTTTTTCGAGAAGCTCGCAACATTCAAACTTACTATATGATTACCAATTAAACTTCCCTAAAAGTGTGCTAAACAAACTTTAACCCTAAAGTTTTTATTTTTTCACTTCGGAAATATTTGACAGTTTCTGATTTGTATTCGTAGATTATGTCTTCGTCATCAGTCGTACATATGTCAGTAGATAACTTTGGTTTATAAAGAGCAGATGCGTGTTCATTGTCCTCTACAATTTCCGAATCCCAATCTTTGAATGGTTTCTCAAATCCTAGAGATTCGTCTTATATCACTTCAATGTCATTATATGCATTCATTGCTAACAACAATATATTCTTGGAATTATTTTTTGATTATATTTTTTCATTATTTATAGGTATTTTGAAAATATTTATAGTTTGGGATGTGGCTAATAGTAGTTGGATTACCCTGAAAGATTCATATAGATTTTTGAAATATAAGAGTAAGAAATAACGTGAAGTAACCGTACATTTAACGGAAAAAATTTAACAAGACTGCTCAAAAATTTTTCATAAGTACAGAGTCAGATAATCCCTCATCAGTAATGATATCATCGGTACAAACAGTTGTTGTTATCGCTTGATACTTACATTTTATTTGGAATTTGGAAAATCATTTAAAAGAATAAATTTATGGATTTCAGCTTTCAATATAACATTTAGAATTATATAGGAAGAGTGGACGAATCTAAAGTAAGATTTTTCGATCGATAAAAGATTCTATGCAAAAATGAATTAAACAATGTTACGTTTACGTAACAGAACGGTCTCTTTCTTGAATCACGACACCGTCGTTTTTACTCCATACGGGTGCGGAGACTTCGTAGAGTTTATTTACGATAGAACGTTACAGAAATAATAAGGGTACTTATCTTACTCTAGCCGACTAGACAAAATATTGTTTTATAAGGGTCGTAGCATAGGTAGCGGAAAGTCGAAGCTATGAGTAGCTTGCTTTGTACGGCAGGTCGAAGCGTTGCTCGAAGATACTCGGGTCTGTGCGCTGGTTGGATAATTTCCAGCTGTCTTTGTTCGACGATAGCAGCCGCCTCTTCATTCTGCCTGCTAACCTCAGCCTCGATTTCGAGAATTTGCTAAGCCCTTCCGTGCGCCAGAATATTACCATATTGACTATATTTTCCTCCAATTAGAAATTATTTAGTGAATTGAGTGAATGAAAAATAATTTTATTTCAAGATCAAATTCCGAAATAGAATAGTTTCATTCTTGAATAATTTTTAACTTCCCAGTGGGAAGTTATAGTAATGGGTTCGATTTTGCGAATCCCGAATTTCGACATATCTCCACGTTTTAAGGTCCTCAGAGTCGAATACGATCGTGCGTGTGCGCGTTCAGAATTATTTTTCGCCTCGATTATCTCGAGAAAAAAAAAAGATATCGATGCGGGACCAATTGCATTCGACGCGTAATTATGTAACTTAGAATTAATTCGATTTTCAGCAAAATCATTTCAGCTATTTTTTTGGCAGAACCAAAAAACTAGCAGAAATAGAAAACGACCTGAATTTTGCAATTTATAAATTATACCATTTTTTAGACAAAATTTCAAAATATTTCAAATAACATGAATATTAAATGATTAGAATACTTGTATAAAATATGATGACAATATTTCATCGAAGAAAAAAATTAAAAAAAAAAATCAGCACTGAAAGAATTTCAAACTCGTGTCATCATTGAGAATACAACATTAAAGACGCTATGATAGTTAATAATAATTGTTAATAATATGGAATTGTGTCCATAAAAATTGAACATAGTTACTAACAAATGATAATTGATCATGGTAATAGTTAAATAATAAGTTTTGAATTGCTATAAACAATAAAAATAGGCATCCATGCTATATATATGAGTACTTTTAACGCATAATTTTTTCTTTTACTGAAATGAAGTAACTAACCATATCAAATGAATAAAAACACACTCATTCCGTTTATAACACTTCCATTTGTTATAAAAAATTGAAACGGGTTTTATTCGAGGTATTTTTTCATTTTTTCCACTGGGAAGTTGGTCGTGTGGACCTTTCGGGTCGCACCCAGACCACTGCAGAGCACTGATATTTTTAGTTATAAATTTAAAATAAAAGTTTCTTTTCACAAAAAGAAAATATTCAATACTTCCAGAATAATTTCTGTTAAAGATCTTTTAGAGTTATTTCAGTTTCAAAAATTATGGCAGAGTATCGGCAGAGTTCGCACCAAACCCGTCAAAAAATTCAGAAGAGACTGAGACCTTTATGGCGAAACTGGCCTATTTATTTGGTCCTTCAAGCTTAGTCATCAAGCTCGATGGGGTCATCTCATAGTTTTTCTGCAAATTAGGGTTTAAGATATTTAAATTTTCCTTTTCGAGAACTGCAATTTCCTCAATTTATACCTTTTATCTTTACTCGAGCTTAGTCAGTGAGACTTTCAACGAGTACGAGTTCCTCTGGACCAACTGATTCACTGAAAGACTTACTTATCTGGACTGTTTCCTTAGAGTTACTAAATTGAGTCTTACTGTTTTTAATTAAAATGAATTCTACTGTTTATTCATATAAAACACTTCTGATCATGTACATATGACTGACAATATATCATATATTCATAAGACTCTACATAATACAAATTGATAATGATATTACTGATAACTGGTTTTCCCGCTCTTTTTTGGTTTACAATCCATTTACTATAGAGTTCTCTCTGTTATGCTTTATAGCTTGACTTTCTAGCTTTGTCGTCATCCTAATTTAGCAACTGTAATTACTGGTTTATTAACAATTTATTTGACTAAACTAGCCAAATAACCGAGACCTCCCGCACAACGCTCAGGAGAACAATACATGATGCCGACTTACGTTTGGCGTCTGCTCGATCCTGGGGAACGGTAGTTTCTTTGGAATTCTCAGATCCGGGTACTTCACGGCGACCTCAGCTTCGAAGACACAGTCCGTCGTTGCTCCTTCTTTGGGTTTTATGCGGTTAACCCCCAACCGTACTGGAACTGGTGCTTGGGTACGAGATAATCCTATTCCTTTCTTGCTCCTCAAAAGTGCTCCTCACCCAGATCTTCACAGATACCCAGGAACAACACCCCAAGATGGTTCATTTGTGGTAGTTTACACAGCAAAGCTGCAATCAACTGATTCTTGAGAATTACTGTTACTGGCTGGTCACTTTCGCTTTATACAGCGCTAAGAGCTCTTGAACTGTCGACTCTTTATTTGCCGGTTACTCTCTCTCTCTGTCTGCAAAGCGTCCACAGGTTGCTTCTCGTACCGACGTTTTCCACCTCTCTATCCTTGCTTCTCTAAAAGTGTGCTAAACAAACTTTAAAAATTTCTTTCGAACACGAGGGCAATAGATAAATAATTATGTCTGATGCCACACGTACTCAAATATCACCTGACATTATCCTCATATATGACTTTTTATTCTCCTACAATTTTTTGTTTTCATGATATTTTATGTTCCAGATCCAGAAGTGAAAAAAATATTGCATAATGGTCTGAACTACGAAAAATTCTTCGATAAAATATTCATTGCCTTGGGATGTTTTCTGACGATAGCTTTGTTATTTTTTCTCCCGAAAAATGAAGGATCACTACCAGTACGTGCTATATTTCCATTTGATACAAATGCTTCACCTAAATATGAACTAGCTTATGTTGTACAAGCTTTTAGTATCATTTACGGTCTCTCTGCAATAGTATTTATGGATGAACTAGTTGTAACTATAGTAATGTGGATCAACGTTCAACTTACTATTTTAAATGCTGACTTTCAACATTCTGCGACAAACAACATGAGGGGAATGTCTAACCATGCTCGCAATAAAAGGGAGACAGATTACTTCATCGAACTTCGCAAGTATAAGGCTGGAGCTTTGAATCAAAATTTTGTGGAAAATTGGAAAATATGTATTGTGAATCATCAAAAATTGATTGGCCTGGTGTATGAACTCAACGATATATTCAGTTCGAGCATGTTACTTCAACTTTTTGCAAGCTTCTCAATGATTTGTTTAGCAGGATTTCAAGTTGTGCTAGTAAGTAGTTATTGACAGTTCTATCTAGACTTAATTCTTCCGATTCATTAAAACAAATTTAATGGGTGACTTCTAATTACAAATATTACCAAGGGTTCTGACTTTGATGAACTGGTGAGAAAAATAAAAATGGATTGCAGGTAAACAGTAAACAAAAATTAATGAGGACTGTATTTTTTAGGATAGTTAGATGCTGGAACAGTCGAAACTGTTGAACAGGTGTAAATGAATGGGCTGACTCTATTTAACAATGACAATCAACCATTTATTAATCACTAAAGTGACAGTGATATGTAAAATAATGATAAAGGAGTCTGTCGGATAACTGTATGAAATAAGTTTACTAATAACTTTGAATTGTCTGTGTACAGTCTTGAATTCATTGAGATCATTGAAATAGAATTCACTGATATTTCACATGAAGAGTTTACTGATATTTTTGAAACTGAGTTTACGGATGAATTGTCTGATGAATAGAAATTCACGGGAAAGTTGTAAGGTTTCCAGGACTAGTCCCTAGACAAAGAGTAACCTGAGTTATGTGTGTTGGCGTCAATCACAGAGACACAAGCGAGTTCTCCGTATGTAAATCTTTGTGTGTGTCTGTCCATGAGGCCGTTAGGCGTGTAAGCCATCATCGTTCGCGCTTTTCGGACCAACTTGAGCCTACTGATGATGGTTGAGTTAGACGGACTGGTAGGACAACGGTCATTACTGTGAATGATTGACTGTTAAGTTATTCTATTTCTGAAGAATATCCTGGGGATTTGCCTGACTATAAAAGCTTTTAGGTCTTTAAGAAGGAATGTCAACGGCTAGAAATTAATTAAAGAAGTCTAATTGGCGGAAATGAGTTCAAAGGAGAGACCTGGATTTATCTAATTCTTCGATAAGGAGAAAAATTTCAGGCTATAGATAGCAGAATCCTAACCAAGTTCAAACTAAAAAAATCGTTTTATATAAAAGTTGTGGATATTCGTATTCTCTACAACTTTTGATTGAAACATTCCTCTGTGTCTTTAATATCGCACGCTAAAACGTTTAAAAAGGGCTTTCGAAGCAAACTTCCCATTTTCAGCATGACGCTGGGTTCGCAACTCTCTTAAAAATATTTTTGATTATGTTTGGCATGTCTAGGAATGTTTCAGTCAAGTTCGACCAAAGTTGAAAAATTGCCGTTCCCGGTCTAACTTGAATAGAGTACATGGTTTAGACAAAATATATGATTCTGATCAAAGTGGCGGCTTTCAATTAGAAGCACATTTGAATAAGACCTCAGCTTCAATAGAAGCAAAATAATAGAGTGTACATTTCAATCAGTTTCTTCGACAACTTACAGTTGAACTACATAACAAACGGTATTAGTCGAAGGAAAACTCCTCCTTTTGAGCCCAGATAATGTACACCTCATAGTATATGATATTGAGACATAATTGGCGATTGGACTTTTGCAAAATGTGTGTGTGAGGTTATGTTTGAGTTTCGGGCCATGGAAAGGCGCGGGAATGCTTCTCCGCGTGGATCTATGGGAAACTTAGTGACTGTAGGAATGCTTCGAATAGGCTCAGTGGTTCAGACTTTTGGAAATAAGGGCATCCAACGCAATTAGCTCAGAAAAGAAAGTTGATAAAGGAAATATAGAGTACCAGATTCTTGTAGTAGTGTGCTAGTCGGCTCGCTCTGGTATGACCTTGAATAGTTTTACTATCTGTCGATGCTTCAAGAAGATTTTGCGTATTTCTCACTTACCTTCTCGGGAATTATGTCTATGTCGATCTTCGCTAATCTGCTACGACAATGTAAATGATACGAAAAGAGTTTAGTCAACGACCTTGGTGAGTTCTTCTTGGGCACCGACGTGCTGAACGACAACGAGAACGAGATACAAGTCAACTATTCGGGACAGATGCCCTTGTAGTTACAGTGTCACCTCCCCTGGAATGTCTTCACTCTTGTAAAGCATGCAAACAAGGGTACGCAAGAGATTGACCGGGATAATTTCTCCAGGCAAATATTGAATTAGAATAACTTTTATTACAAAAGAATAGTTTCCAGACAATAATTCGTAGGGTTATCCCCCCGCGTCCTGAAGCAAGCTATATTGTACCTTATAAGCTAGTTTACAGTAAGTAATACTTAAGACAAAGTGAGTTAATGACCCGGGTACGGGACGGCGAAGTTAACAATTGTTGTTTCTCCAGTGCAATTACTTTCACAATAGCAAGTTACATTAATTAAGAATCGGACAGGTGTTACAATTTTGTTTCCGCGTCTTCTCACGGACTCGCCCTAATGCCCTTGAATTACGAGGAGGTATTAGGTGTGAGCTCACCAGTGAGTGTCCTCTTCTCTTGGAGATGCTGTTGCTTCACCCTGGTCGGGACTGCAGGTCTGGTGTCCCTCGCTGTTGGAAGTCCTGATCAACTCTTTGGCTACTCGGCGCCTCCCTGAAGGTTCCAGAGTCTCCTCAGCAGCTTCCTTGATTCCTGGACAGCGATTTGTCGTGGACGTTCACGAGATCGACCCCGTTTTCCGACTCCCGGACTGACTTTACTTGACGAGATGTTACTTAAAGCGCAGCGTTTTGTTCGTTCACGGCAACGACGGCAGCCCAGTACTAGACTGTACTCGTCGACTGAAGCTTCTTGAGCGAGTGATACTCTAAGACAGCCTGTTTGATACTCTCTGATTAACTGGTCGGCGTGCTCGATGCGTCGTCTCAGCGGGACCCCCTTCCATGTAGGAGTTTCCCCTTCACTTCGCTCTTGCAGCGCCTTCCTGACTGAATCTGGTGGTCATATTCTTCCCGTGACCTTGGATGGTTATCCAGGAGTCTTCTGTACCGACGGTCGATTTCTGGGTCCTCTGCTTGTCCTGAAACAGGCTAGGAGTGTTCGCTCCCATAGATGGAGTGATAAGTACTCTGGAGTTTCCTTCTTAACGATACAGGTGTCGCCACTTGTCTCGAAGGGTCATGCTTTTCGTTCTCGTATTGTAACAATATATTCTAGAAGTCTATATACTAATTTTTTTGAAAACATTTCAAAATCTGGTTAAAGGATGTATTTTTTTTTTTTTGAATGCTTTTATATATATAAAATATATTTTTTTTATATATATAAGAATATATTTTTATTTATTCATTGGCTTCATCATTTGGAAAATAGTTGATCAGAAAATTTTTTACACAAAACCAAAAAGCAGAATAGTTTTTGAATTTGTTTATTCTTCTCGATTCATGAGCAATTGTATTGAGAAATTTACACTATTTCTGGATAACGAAAAATTAATTATTTAAATTTAGGATCAATATCAACTAAACATCGTCGGTAAATATTTAGATTTATATTTGGAAACAGAGTCTTCTGTTAGCAGACATTTCTAAAAATTTTAGACAAAGTATTATCTCCACTTATGAGCTTGATTCGTTACATTACTACACTGCACCTGGATTAGTTTTTGATGCCATGTTAAAATATACAGAAATTTGACACAAACTCTTGGACAATGTAGAAATGCTCAATTTTATAGAAAAAGGTATTAGAGGAGGAGTGGCACAGTGTTCAAACAGATATGCGAAAGAAAATTGCTCGTATATGTGTGATGATGATAACCCCAATGAAAATGTATCATATCTCATGCATTTCAATGTAAATGATTTGTATGACGCAGCAATAAGTGAGTATCTACCTACTGGATCATTTGAATGGGTGGAAGATAACATCAGTATTTTCAATATACATGAAATAATTGAAAATATCTTTAATGATTTTTCAATTGGTAACATTTTCGAGGTTGGTTTGAAGTATCTGAAAATCTTACACGAGCATCATGAAGATTTGCCGTTATGTCCTGCACACCGTAAACTTTCAAACAACAATAGCAGTAAACCTATGGCAACGTTATTACCTAAACTTAAACATGTGATTTACTCCAGAAATTTGAAACAATTTCTCGATATAGGAATGATTGTTACGAAAATTCTTGGATTTAATCCATCACCATGATGTAGAAGTATGTAGATCTAAATACAGATTTATGAAAAAAATCTAAAAATGATTTTGAGAGAAATATCTATAAATTAATGAATAATGGAGTTCACGAAAAAACAATGAAACACATTCGAAAATACGAAAATGTCAAGTAAGTTACGCAGTAGGAAGGTCAGTATGGTGCAAAAATTCTCATTGCCTCTCAAAAATTCATCAATAGTCTAAGAAGAATGTTGCCGGTTTAGCGGACCCTACTCCCATCCCTACCACAAAGTAGGGATGAATTTGTGTCAGCCGAAGCGGTTTCACAGGCGGTGGGGGTAGCCGCGCAGCGGTGGGTGGGGCGACGAGATCGCGGGTTGGGGATGAAGAATCTAAAATAGGTGTTAATTGTAATTATTATTTAAATAAAAAATTTGTATTTTTATTTAATGATTATAATGTATTTCCTCCTCAAATTACAAAAATTTTTCAATATTTATTATTAGGGCATGCGTATAGTGGCGCACCCGGCGTAGTAATGCTTAAATGCTTTGACGAACTATCTACGCGCGGATATGTATGCCCCAACTTCCTTTTAGTTGTAGGCGTGGCGTTGAGCTGTAAATTGTAAATCAATGCCTCACACTGCCGTAAATTTTTTACAGTTGATTCAGTCAAAAAAAGAATAAATTTTTGCTGATGCTTTAGCCCAGTTTGTTCATTACAGTAAATATCGAGCATTAGCTACATACACTGCACGATGTATTTTATAAATTTGAAAAAACTTTTTATCATTAACTGAAACATTTTTGAATAGCAGCTTTATTGCTTCGACCTCTATAAAAGCGTATTCTCTACTAATGTTCTTTCTGTATATTAATTTATCATCAAGGAAAAATTCAGGCTGTTCCGAGCCCGTCCTAAGAGATCATATAACCATGGTGATAAGGCCTATGTTGACCGTTAACAAAAAGATGCTGACGGCCATGTAATGTTGTATATCTCTTAAAACTTGTATAACATAAA